TAATGAAGAAGCTTTCACTGTCATCATCAGCACAAACTTCATGAAGTGTATTTAGCTTACAAGTAAACAATGGATTGTTTCAGAAGTTTTTATGTGCAACTGCCATTCTTCCAGATAACTTCAAATGTTTTAACACCAAAGATTTGAACTCAAGCTGACCCGAATGGAATAATCCCTGTTTCCCAACCCATCCTATAACAATGACCAGCAACAACACGTACGACAGTAACAAAAAAAAATTAGAATTTGAAGGGTGCGAAATCTGAAAGGTGTTTCTAATTATGTTTCTCATTTATTACAAATAAACACTATCACAATTGTATAAAATGTACAGAATTTCCAACCTTATCTTGATAAGTCTAAGAGATACAAAGAACAGGCTGAATTGATTATAGAAATCAGAAAGAACACAGTCACAGAGTGGGTGGAGAAGGCATGATATGAAACAGTCTTCTGATATGCACGTCAATAAGTACAACAATACCATAAGCAGTTATATTTCACATTAGATTACATATACTAGGTGCTTAGTTTGATGGCGTCAGCTGAGTATTAATCATACATAATTAAAAAGTAAAACCTTTATGCACTAGAAATTATATATATATATATATATATATATATATATATATATATATATATATATATATATATATATATATATATATATATAGATTTTTCATTAGGTATATAACGTTCCGATCCTTTGCACAGTAATTGTAAGAAACCCAGTGATACTGCTTGAATATACTAAGCAGTGTTCGAAACCCGTGAATCATTGGTGGAACACCAGTTTGCAAGTTCTATGACTCGTTATTTAAATAAATTATCATACTCTGTCGGTCATCCTTATATATTATAAAATGAATATCACTGACTCCTCATAGGTACTCTGTATAAATAATACAACTGCATCATCTATTCTTCCTGAGTTCGAATGAAGAATAACTGCCTAGGCTTTATTAATATCCAGAACTGAAAGTTATATGCTGCCAGAGGTTCAGTAATGAAATTTTACACGGTTCGCAATGATCTTGGTGGTCTTTTGAGAGCGCATCGTATATAAAATTGGTTCGCTGGGTGAACGATTTCATTGAATTTAGTGGTTGCTAGCATCGCTCTCATGGGCGCTACGTGTCATTGGGGCGTTGTAATGCGAGCTACCCTTGCCCATAATACTGTGCTTGACACGTCGTATAAGTGGGATAGGTCAGCACTGGTTTGTCCATGCTGTTCGCAATTAATTGATGCAACCATTGATCGGAATAATAATCTTGCTTGCTTGAGCAAACAAATGGTGTAAATGGTTCACCGGGGTGAAGGCAGCCATGTGGTTGCGTCAGACGATGAGACTGTATACTGTCCTGGTTTTAAAAAGCCAAGATGTGTTCTGTTCTTTCTAGAAAATAATGTATAATTATCCGTTCAAACGATGGGTATATATCATACTGTAAATAAACTGGTTGATCCTGACATTAGTCATACGTTTGTCTCAGAAATCAAGCTATGCATGTCTATGTCTACACCTTAATGCGGTAAAACCGCGAATGACTCATTAAATCAGCTATGGTTCCTTAGATTGTAAACGCTACATAGATAACCGTAGTAATTCTAGAGCTAATTCATGCCATTATGCAGTGACCCACAACAGGACGGGTGCAAGCCCATAATGCTGTTGCACGAATAGTAAATACATCAATTCACTAATTCAGACTTCAAAGGAAATCGACTATCTTCTTGATCATCTGAATCTTCGATGCATGAAAGTTCGAACGAATGTATTTACCCGGTAGTTCATTATACACAGGCACCAAGATACTAGTTGTGAAACATATTTTAAGCCTCAGACAAGTATCCTCCGAAATTAAACACATACTAGCGCTAATTAGATACATGGAAAGATTCCAATAATAGAAGCAAAATTTTAGGTGTTCTACAAATCCTAGTGATAGGGATATTATCTCTGTAAAGTTGTAATGTATGGAGAAAACGAATTTGAATACGGCAGACCTTGTGTCACTGCAACAATGTTATTCCATTACTTCATAGTTTAGAAAATCAGAAAATAATTCAACTTGAAAACACTTATGTTAGGAAGTAAATTGACTACATAACTAATGTTCAAGAATGCATGAATTTCTGTTCTTTTGACCAAACAAACATTATTTAAGTCCTCATGCTGTTCGTGTGAAACGACTAACAGCTGAATAAAGAAGGCGCTTAGAATTTTATGATACATTTGAGACGTTCTTTATAGAAAATATTTAAAGATGTTTTTCTAGAAGCACAGTTTTGTTCTTTTGAGCGAAATTAGTCTCTACCTATCGCTTTTCTCACTTTGCGTGGAATACACATATTTAAAGGGGTCATTTTTGTGGTAAAATTGTGAACACTCACATCTGCTAACAGTCTGAACCTTATTGGATTATTTGCTTTCCTTGCTGCTTCCATCATCGTTTTGATTACAGAAACAACTTCTTTCGATCTCTAGAAACACTTTTTTATTTCATTCTTACACGCTACTGTAATAAGGCAACTCTACTCTATAACTCAATAACCGGCTGTTACATTTGTGATAAACATAAATATGATTGTACAGCTTCGGAGAATTCAACCATCAAAAAAGAAAATTTTCCTCTCTGCATTGTATTGTGTGTAGCTAAATGTTTGATAATTACATGGCCAAGTTCTGTCACGAGTTCAAATGTTTACAGATAATCAATTATTACCAAATGAACCCGCTTTACCTACTTAGACTTGGACAACCAAGTAGTATCTTGAGCCCTCACGCGATAAGTGTGACTTATAGCATAGTACCTAATCATGTACTGAGTTGAGTAACTAACATTACTGTATATCAATTTACGTGTCACGTGAATGAGGATTTCATATATGTTTCCTGTGACTATTTCAACAGATCTGTTAAAAGCACAACTTCGCAAACCAGTAAACAGGTTTGTTTCCTTTTTTGACGTTTAAGTACACTTCATGACGCATTCAAAATCCACGTCATTATCTTATCCAAACTACTATCTCTCCGTAGTTAGTTTTTCTTTTCAATACTCTGCCAATTCAAGATGTCAACCATTTGGTTCGTAAGAATCCATGGTGTTTATTTTTTTAATCCCTTAAAAGTAAAACAGAACTACTTCAGTGCTCAACACCATAAACTAGTACAGCCGTAATTTAAAAAAATACCAGAACGCCACGGAATTAGTTAAATTACAGCTGCTGCTTTAGATTGTTCGCTGTAATTCATAGCACAGATTGTATCTCTTTCTACCCAACTAACTGAACACATCAAGAACCCAATGAGAGCTGGTGAACTCTAAGGCCAAAACATTTGCTTGAGATCTAACAGCATTATCCAACACACAGGTGAATTGCAATGTGCATTCTTGAGAGGAATTGAACTATCACTAAAGTAATTGTACTTTCGTCTTGAGAGTATTCCAGTGAAGTAATCGTGTATAATTTTGCCTACTGGTTCATGAACCATATCTGGTTTTGCCATACTATTTGTACTAGAGCAAGTCAAGTGAACGCCAAATATATGAGCCAAAAATTAGGATGTTTGTGTTTAAAACGTTATGATAGATATTGCTAACTTAAAAACCTAGCATATCATAGTAAAAAGACGAGGAGAAAAGGGAGAAATAAAATGATCGAAACGTTATAGAAAATCATAAACCAAAAGGTGGAGGCAAATTAAACAACCAAAATGTGATGAAGCAACCAAGACTAAGATAATATATGAACCGCCCAAGCGCACTACGTTCAACCCTCAGTAATATCTCCTTGAGTCTCCAATCATCAATCCCAGTTGTCACGTAAACCACAGCAAGGAAGCTTACATTTCGCCACATAGATAATTAGATGTAAAAAAGTGTATGAGTTAGAGTTGGTAAACTTGAGAATAGTTTACATAGAGGAAGTGAAGGGATTAGTAATGATGTTCAAAAGTAGACAGAGGTACGGGATAAGAGGGATGATAAAGTAAAAATTAGCAAAATTTCAATGATAAACAATGTAAATATCTGCATCACTGTAACTGAATTTGAGCCGTTTCACCGAGTCTCCAAGTTTTTCACTCATATCATCTACAGGACCCAAGACAGGCATCTTCAACGTCCTACAAAGTCTTATACTAACAATCAGACTTCATGGATTCGCATCAAATCTTAGTGTAGTTATCCTACACATTTTTCCAAACTAAGCCTAGTTTAGTTAACATGGAGTGTTGGGGTGGATGGTGATTCAACAGTTTGCCGTAATTATAACAAGAATACGAGTCTTTGAGTGAAAAGCCTTAAGTGAAGTGAGTTACCTGTCAGGCACTCCATTCAGTAAGACACTATAATGAAGGTTACTAACTGGTCGAACTAAACGCTACCACCTTTAGGCCAAAAAATATAGCCAGTACCAGACGCGGCAATTCTAGGAACTAACGAAAAGCAAGGATCTAGTTGATTGGCACGTGACCAGACCTAGAGCCTCTCCATTTCCCCCGGTCTTGCTGCTCCCCAGCTCCAGTTGAGTGTCGAGTGACTATGGAACCTGAAGTCTTAGACACAACGTTAGCTAACCTAATTCTTGCATGATTATCATAGTGGGCTTTCCTTAAAGACAAAGGCAATTACCTATGGAGATTAGTCAAACGGACCACGTTTAACTTCCACATCTTAGTTAATATCTCGGTCAGTCTAAAGAGTAAACCTTGATAAAAACATTATGATATATCAGCGAAATTGAACATTGTAAGAAACAAAGGCACTGGTTTTCTCCAGATGAAAAAAGCTTTTAGTTAGAAAGGAAAAGATAGTCAGTGGGAAGTACAAAACGTGAATTCAAAAAATGCACTATCAAACACAAACTCTGCTACAATATGAAGACCAAAGCTAATGACATATTACACATACACGTATTTCATAGGAGCAATATCTATCAGCCAATGACTTACTAATTATGAAGTGGAAGGTTAATAAAAACTTAAAGATATACTACATCTGTAGTCTTTTGTACACACCAACAACAATTAAAATAGATTCAGGTTTAACACAATTCTTTTTGTCAGAAATGCACAATAAGCTAACTGGTGGGACTGGCATAAAGGTCAGTAGATAACGAACTGTTCAAAAACAAAATCAGAAGGCATATAACGTGAAATCAGATGAAAGACAAATAAGTTCCGTCCCTCCACTTTTATCTCAGTCCAATAACCAGTGACCACACTTACGGGTCCACTCGACAGCTAGGAATAGAGCTCCAGTTGCTGGAAACGTTCGCAAGACTGTTGGACCAAGGCCACGATACAGCGCGGAAACACCTATAAGGTAGTAATAAAGAAAAGCATTTGACAACTGGAGTCTTGGAAGATCAAAAGTAGTAAAACAACATATTTCAAAATAGCAGATGATCTTAAAAATGTATCAATCAAAAAGGTATCTGTAGATAACTGGTTACTTACAGAACGACATGCACAACATGATGCTTAAGAACTAGGCCTAGTAAACTGTCAACTGACCGGTCTATAAGTGGACTTAATTCGCCTTACCTTATTAACAACTAAGAGTTAAATTAAGTGTTTTGCGTGAGCAAAAGAGGACGATGATAATCCAACACTATCCGGAAAAATAATGGCAGCCGAGCTGTTAGTCAGTCCGCATTAACGTGGCATCTGTTATTACTGCGTAATGATCCAAGTTGCCACACCACATATCAGCATATCAAGACCGAAGGCACTATGATGAAGCATAGAGAAATCGGGAAGATAAACATAGATAGTATGAAATCATTCTAACGGTTGTCACGCAGACTCCCAACCAGAAATCTACATTTTCCTACGCAGCTGATACCAACAGTCGGAGACTTCACGGACTAATGCCATGTCTAAGTCTGACAGCCTCCAACCTTTTTCTACCTCGAACCTACTTCAACTGACAATGCGCGACTGGACGGATGGCGACTAGGCATGCGCTTGGTGAAGGTCTACAACCTTATCAAGTAACTTACTTTGTATGTCTGTGCCTGACTTCTACGTTATCGGCGTGGTGGTTTTACGACACACGACCTATGCTACTAGGGGAGAAGTGGTAGGAAAACTTTAGGCTTTAATGGATATGTTCCACAACGAATTGGCAGAACAGAGCGAACTTTAGCGCAGTAAGTTCGACTCTTAATAGACAACCAAATACCATGACAGTTCCAAAGATAGCGTAAGTTCGAAAACGTCAAACGAGCCGTGGGTGTCCGTGCAAAGATTTCGTTGGTCACTGAGTAACCAACTTCTCAAGTGAGTGAAGTGATTCACAGGCTCAACCACTTCACTACCTGTCGCTAAACCTGGTTCCAACGCAGAGCAGTTCTTGAGAAAACATTTGCATTTTGGTGTTGAGAAGGGCATCTGAAACATTTTCAAACTGTCCCTTAAGACGTTTAGCAAACAAACGGTTTTATTTTACTTCGAAAAATTATTAGTACAATCAGTCAACTCCGTTACGTGTGTGACTAGTACAGTGCATCACCAATGTGGCCGTGGTACAGATAGTATAGTGATTTGCTTTTTCGTCTCACACCCGTTATCCACTATCTTACAGCCAAGTAGGCCAAAGGTGAGTCCTTGCAATCGGGTATGAACAAGCACAGGTAACTTGACTGAGATGCAGTACGGTGAAATTTTCATCCTGTCATTTAAAAAAGATGTGACCGAAGAAGTATTTCTTTTGAATCAGCTTATCGTCAATAGCTTGATATAAAAATACGGGTTTTCTGATTAGAGTCAAAATATTAATTTAGTAGTGGTGGTGGTGAGTTGGAATATAACCGAAAAAGAGCTCAGGATTTCTATTTATACATGTTAGTCACCTGAAAATGGATATCTGGAGTACGCAAGAACTCACTAAAACACGTACTTTGAAAGATCAGAAGGAAATATTCTTGTTTGCATCACTGAACAAACTCCAGGAAATAGGAAAATAAAAAGCTGACAAGTGTTCAACACCTCTGTTCTACGGTGGGCATGGTGTTAGCACATCAAAATGCTTCTAATTAGTGAGCACAAACAAAATTCTTTCTTTCCTTTAAAGCATTATGATCAAATACTTAAACTTAACCCACTAACTCAAAGAATAATTTTCAAACCATCCATTACCTTCCCATCTTTAATTATCGAAATTTATCCAGGATTTCAGTTGCACAATGTTGCCACTTTAGGCCTTTTTTCATGTACCTTTTATTACAAAAAGTTTACCCAGGTTACTCCCGAAAACATTGTAAATCAACTAACCCTTTGTAAAACAATCCGTGATAATACTTTCCCAAATGCAAGTTCATTGTTTTTATCCTCTTCTCGGTTTCCACTTCCTAAATTATAGCTTAAATTACCTCATCATTAATTTATGCTACGAAGCGATTCAAAAATTGCCTTAATTACACATTGATTACGAATATTATCCCCTTATATGACGTATTCGCTCAACCGACACCTCATCAGCTGTGTTGTGAACAGTTACAACAAATCTGAGGGCTTAGTTTATAGTAATTCTTAGCTCTGTTCCACTGACACAAATACAAAAGATGCAAACAGCACCTATATAGTTTACAGAATCCCTAAAACAATTACCTTCATTTTTCTTAATATCTAACAGGACAGATAGCATGCTTTGTTTACTGACTTGATTTAGATGAGCTGTTGATGCAGCAGTATGGTATCCGATTTGCATACGAGATTTGACAACATCAAATGGAAATATTGCCACCCATAGAGAAACCCCACCAGCTCCACCCGCAATAACTGTTTTGATTGGGCCTAAATCTTCTTTACGCCCGTCGACTGGAGTCAACAAAGTTCGACAAGCTTCACAACCACCGAAAAAGAAGAAATAACCGGGCATTTCTCGAGCGAATGTAGCACTTAAGCCACATGTAAATCCTTTGAGACCTTTCTCTTTGTAGATTGACTTTGTCACTTCCCATGGGCCACTATACAAAAATGTCATGAAAAATATGGAAATTTGTTAAGTTGAAGAGTGATAACACTAGCCTTTCATTTGCTCTTTTCCATATTAACCGAAAACAGTTGATCAACAATTGCAATGGACGTTACAAAAGTAACCAAACGTTAAGCGGATACTTAGAAGTCTTACTTCATGTTTTTTGCTGAGAGAATCAGTACGATAACCATCCATGTAGAAAGGGTTGATTGAAATAAAGTGAACACTTATCAGCTTTTCTCCTATTTCTGATCCTGAAATATAATTCGGAATGCAATTCAGAAATGCAATGCCTTCCAAACAGTACTCACGTTTGATGAATGTAAGGAACCAGTAAAGACGGAATAAGCCTATTTTTATGGTTAAACGAAATTGCATCGCTAAACATAAGGACAAATGTCTACCGACTGAGTAGTTCGAACAGATTGATGCTGATGAAAACCAATGCAGACGTGAGGTCGTTGATCAAGACGAGAGGTGTAACTTGTAAATTATATCATGGTTGAATTCATGCATCATGAAGTAAATGGGAAAAACAATTGCAATGCACTAATAAACCCTTTCCAATGAACTGAATTCAAACTGCTAACACTAGAGCAATGATGTTTGGCCACTTTAGAACATTGAGACAAGTTTATTCACAACTAAGTCTGTTTAGTTTAACAAAGTTACATTCGTATAAACATTCAAACATCCTTATCCCCAAAACAACACAACAAAAACCGCTCGGTTGCCTGCTTGAATATCTGGGCTACTAAATTTTCCATCTGTCATATTGCATCAAATTTGTCAACAATTTTTTTTTAATCATTCCATTATGTCCTCTGATCGCATTATATATTCACGCACATTTTTAAAAAGCTTACGGTTTTCTGTGATGCCAGATGAAGAAGAAGCATCACGATGGATGGTAACGTGCTTTGAAGCGAATAACTTTATCTCAAATAACTCCGCCCGAAATAATAAGCACGAACTCAAGGTCACTGCAGGGGAAAATAGGTTACTTACAATCTCTTTTATCCTTCTACGTGTACCGTAATACTGGAGTCATTAAACCGCAAGAAACCTGGTTACGTGAACTTTATGAGGACAATTTGATTTGTCTGAATGATCGCAAACTTTTCCGTCAAGATCGATGTAGCTCTCCTGAGAAAAGTGGAGATGGAGTAGCTACCTTCATCAATACCCATCGGTGCATTTCGAGTTACATATGCTTCAAATTCTCAAATGACTACATGGACTGCATCAGCGTAAAATGCCGCCCAAAATATTTGAACAAATACCGCTTTATTTATATAACAAATATTTATGTGAAACAACCTCCCCTGGTTAACTACTACACTAGTTACTAGCCGGTCCTAAGCCCACGTAAACAGGGAAGGTTGGGCATAGGGCTAGCAACCCCACCCCGTAAAATAAATCTAACCGCTAAAGAAACTTCAAAGCACAAACGAAATATAAAAAATAAAAAAAATAAAAACAAAATTATTCCCCGCTGGAATCGGAGAGGCGAAATGACTCCAGTTGGTGAAAGCCTGCCTTCGGGAAGCCAATTGGCCGGGCCGATGTGTCTTCTCTCCCTCGATGAAAGCAAAAGTAAACGTGGGGACATGGAATGTCCGCACCATGTTTGAACCCAGCAAGGTAGCCCAGATTGCAAAAGAGATGAGAAGGTGTGGCACAGAAGTGCTTGGAATTTGAGAAAGCAGATGGAATGGGAGTGGACTCTCCAAACTGTCAACTGGAGAGGAGAGTCAATAATCTACTCCGATATTGTCACCCAGACGACAACCACAAGCACACTGAGTTTTCCAGTGGCTATCATTATGTCCCCAACAGCATCAAAGGCTCTCATGCAGTGGGAACCAATCTCCTCCAGGATCAGGATCATCACAGCAAGATTCAACTCAAAAGGAAGGAAAGTCACAATCATACAATGCTACACTACTCACCTACAAATAATGCAGATGAAGAGAAGAAGGAGGAATTCTACTGACAACCGCAATCAACACTGGACAAGACCACACTGCAGTTGGCGATATCAAAATTCTAATGGGTGGGGCGACATGAATGCCAAACTGGGAGCAGACAACACAGGAAGAGAAATAACCATGGGTCGAGAAGCGCTCGGTGAGGTGATGAACGACAATGGAGAATTGTTTGCAGAATTCTGTGCATTCAACGATCTGGTGATTGGAGGCAATGTGTTCAAGCACAAGGATATCCACAAAGCGATATGGATTTCACCAGACACCACGACACACTAAAAATCAAATCGACTTTATCTCAATCTCAAGAAAATGGAGACGCAGTCTACTTGACACAAGGTCAACAAGAGGAGCAGATGTAGGTTCAGACCACTCACCATCTAGTGCAAGGAACCTTCAAAATCAAGTTAAAAGCCTTCAAGGAAGCTGGTGATAGAACTCAATTCAAGTACAACACTCGGAAACTGAACTGAAGGATGAAACTACAAAGGAGATCTTCACGTCGGCCAGCCATCAAGACAAAATGGGAGATATCGAGGAACATCCCCAAAGAAACCTGTGTGGAAGAACACTGGAAGTCTTTGAAAGCTATGTGGAAAGAAACCTGCACAACCGTATTAGGAAGGAAGAAGAAAGAAGACAAGGATTGAATCTCCACGGATACCTGGAAGCTGATAGAGCAGGGAGAGGAGTATGGTGATGGTGAAGCAGAAGATAAACCAGTGCAAGGATGCTCAACGACAAGAGGAACTGAGCACAATGTATAAAACACTACACTGGACAAAGAAGTGAAGAAGAATGCACGCAAAGACAAATTACACTTCTATGAAACACTGGCAAGTGAAGCAGAACACGCTGCAGGTAAGAGGGACACAGACCTGACAACATTGTATCAAATAACCAGGTTGCTATCTGGGAGGAGATCAACGCAAACGAAACCAATGAAAGATGATGACGGAAATTTAATTAGGAAAGAAGAGAAACAAAGGAAACAATGGGCTGACCACTTCAAAAGCTCTTGAATCGACCACCACCAGCACCAACAACTCGTCCACAAATACCACCTGCAGCCGCTGAACTACAAGTCAACATAAATCCTCCAACAAAAATGGAAGTCCTGAGCTCCATAAACCTACTGAAATGAGGGAAAGCAGCAGGACCAGATGGGATACCGCCAGAACCACTGAGAACAGACACAGAGACAACAGCAGACATGCTCACACCACTATTGTAGAAGGTCTGGAAGGAAGGGAAGGTACCTGGCTAGTGATTGGAAGAAGGGTTACCTTGTCAAACTGCCGAAGAAGGGAGACCTCAGTGTTTGCAAGAACTGGCGCGGAATCACTCTCCTGTCCACCCAAAGCAAGCAAAATATTAAGCCACATCATCCTGGAGAGGCTTAAAGATGCACTGGATTCAAAACTACGACCAGAACAGGCTGGCTGGTTTCAGGAAGTACAAATCATGTGAGGACCAAATTGCTACGCTTCACATCATCGTAGAACAGAGCACAGAATGGCAGTCAACTGGATCTCTACCTCAACTTCATCGACTTTGAGAAGGCTTTTGACAGCGTCGACCGAGAAGTAATTTGGAAACTGCTTCATTACTACGGAGTACCGCAAACCTTTATCAATCTCATTCAACAACTATATGAAGACGCCACATGCCAAGTAATTCACAATGGGAAACTCAGTGATGCTTTTGAAATGAAGACAGGAGTGAAACAAGGCTGTCTACTATCACCTATGATATTCCTGATTGTGGTCGACTGGATCATGCAACAGACCGTGAGGAGCGAGAAGATGGGAATACGCTGGCTGGACTGCGGAAAAGAACCTAGAAGATTTGGACTTCGCCGATGACTTGTGTCTAGTGTCTGATGTCGCACAAACTTGAAGAACTACAGGTGAAAACTAACAAGTTGTCAGAAGAAACAGCGACGACGGGACTTCAAGTGAATATAGAGAAGACAGGGGTGATGAACATACCCAGCCAACAACAACAACAACAAACTCCAATCAGCATCAATGGGAGAAACTTAAAGGAAGTAACCTTCTTCACCTATCTAGGAAGCACTGTTTCAACTACAGGTGGCACAGACGAGGACGTCAAAGTCAGAATCGGAAAAGACAGCAAGACAGGCGTTCATTAGCCTGAAACCAGTGTGGAGATCTTCTGCACTCAGCATATGGAACAAGATCCGGATTTTCAACACAAACCCAGTCAAGTCAGTGCCTCTGTATGGTTCAGAGACTTGGCGCATCACGAAAGGGATTTCCAATAAACTACAGACATTCATCAACAACTGCCTACGCTGGCTCGTTACTGAAGATCAGGTGGCCAGAAAGAATGAGCAACAAGGAGCTCTGGGAACGAACCAACCAAGAAGCTATCACCCAACAAATATGCTGAAGGAAGTGGAGATGGATTGGGCATACATTGAGAAGGCCGACTGGGGACATTACGCGTCATGCCCTCGAGTGGAACCCACATGGGAAGCGACGAGTTGGACGTCCGAGCGTGACATGGAGTATATCGTGTGAGGAGGAAATGAGAGCTTGTGGGCTGTCGTGGAGCCAGGTTCAGAAAATTTCAGAGAACAGAGGTCACTGGAGACGTGCTACTGAAACCCTATGTTCCACTAGGAACCCAAGAGACAAATAGATATATAAATAATGTGACACCTGGTTGCAGTTTCTCCGAACTATCCAATTTCTATGATATATTCACGGAATTCGCTACCCTATGTAATTTTCACACACAAGATGCTACATAAGAACTATTCACTTAGTAACATACTTAATCTAAGAGAAATGCTACAATGTACAGACTAGAATATATTTGACAGCAATGTTTTGAACGATACTATTGGTGTGACATGCTGTGTCAAGTTCTGCCTAGATATATGTTGTCCCAGTGAAAAGCTTTTTCTACGCTTCGATCGTATATCTTCTCAGCTTAAGAAACTAAGAAGAGAAAAAGAAAGACTATATATAAGGTAAGCGATAATGCTGGTGCTCGTTGATTGAACGTTTTAATTGGGTTCTTCCAGCATGTGGAAACTTTTTAAAGACCTCACTGGCAGTAATCACCTTAGTAAAGAAGCACATGTCAATATCTGTCGCTTGAACAAACCGTTTATACGTCAACCCACTTGTTCGATCCAACTTTGTCAACCTATGTCCAATGAAGAAGGTCGTCAAGAGTTCACCGTGAAAGATGCTGTCAAATGTCTTAAATCTCTGAACCCTTCTCATAGTTCAGGTTCAGATGGTATGTCAAGCTTCGTATTCACGAAGTGTACTGATATTTTATGCCATCCATTAGCTAACGTGTTCAATAGATCGGTTTTAGAAAACACCATACCAACTGCCTGGAAAGATGTTAAGATAGTCCCCGTACCTAAGTCTAGGACTCCAGGTGCATGTACAAAATACCGTCCGATTGCAGGTGCCTCTTCGTTCTTAAAAATAATGGGGAAGCTAATGATACCTGTGCTTGAGCCCTCTCTGGAGACTTTCGGAGACCACAATCAATTTGCGTATAAAAAGAGAATAATCACGTTGGATGCCACCACTCTCTTATATCACGATATTGTTTATAGTCTCGATAAAAATGCCCAGTATGTCAGGTGTACCGTTTTGGACTATACTTCGGCATTTGATTCTTTCCCAAGACCTCTTTTGCTGGATAAACTAACCAGGACAAATACTGAGTCATGGACAACCAGCTGGCTGCATTCCAAGTTCTCCGATAAAAAACAATATACTGTTTACAGAGGGAAGTGCTCCGCCTCATTACCTAATGTGACTGGAGTTCACCAAGGAGCCATCCTTTCCCCATGTCTTTTCTCATTTTTTCTGCATGATCCACCATCTTCAGTTGGTATCAGTTTCATTAAATCTGCCTAACAACCTAACAACGTTTATACCTCACTCTCCTTCAGCAGATTGCTCCTAACTGAATGACTTTCTATCTACTGTTAGACGATGGTCCTCCGAGAATGGTCTCATACTTAATTCCTCAAAATGTCAGACCATAAACTTCAGTTTTAGGCGTGAACATAACCTATATAAACCAGTTAGTTCTCATGATTCCTGTTCTATTGATAGTTTTACATCGGAGAATGTTACAAGTGTGATTTATCTTGGTATGTGTTTTTCTTCGGGCCTTTTTAAGTCCTTCCATATCTTACTAATTTCCAAAAAGATTTTCCGCCTAACTTTCAATATTACGAATCTGAGAGTATCTAGTATTACCCAGTCTCTCCTCTTGTGTTTTATAAACTCCTGCGTCTTCCCTGTCCTCCTCTGTTGCTCCCGTTTATTTTTTCCTGGGTTGCTGAAAAAAGACTGTGCTGTATTGCGTAGAGCTTTAAAGATTATCAGCAGACTAGTGGTGTACCCCCAAACCTAATTAAAACTATTGTGGACAAACATATTAACTCATGTAAACATCTAGCAGGAGTTATTTTATCAGATGACCAATATCATATCCACTCAAAGCTCTCTGCGTGTCAGTCATCTGGAAGGACAAGGAACACGTACATAAGACTCCATACACGTACTACAAAATAGAAAAATTCTACGACACCATGTTAGAAACAAACTAAGTAATCGACTCCTGTTTTCGAAAGCAAACTAATTGAAGATGAGCGTGTCACTTTATACGTATTATGAGTCTAATCGCCAATGTGATTTTCTGCCGAAGTTGACTGTGTGCTTTAAAGAAAGTTGTAGATAGAGCGAATATTTTTATGTTTTCTTCATGTAATTTCTATTTATTTCATTTTGCAATGTACACATATAAACTGTCCCTATCCAACTGATGCTATATAACGTGCTGAAAATTCTGTATTACCAAAATAGCATTCAGAATGAAGCCATTATTACTACATTATTATTATTATTATTATTATCATATGTTTCTGTGGCAAAATGAGAAGTCTACACAGCTCTGTCCAACCTACTTTACATAAAAGAATGACTGAACTGGAGAAACTGAATGGAATAGGTAGTACTGTTGACCGCGTTTCTAAAATTACAAGCACATCTGCATGTAGTAAACTATTCGTCCTTTTTGTGGAGACTTCTCAAACTAAAAGGTTGACATAGACATCAAGCGAAAACAAACAAAATGACAAAGCTTCCACTTTCATATGAAAGCGAATCTGATAAGATTTTCCTGAAGAAATCAGATCGCCACCCGTATAAGTCCAATAAAAACGAACATGTGAACTATATCTTAAATTAGAGTTACAGATATTTGAGTACCGATACTTTCAAATCATGCGTGTCCCATGTGTCATAGTATGTTCGTAGGTTGAAATAAGGGCAGCCCCAAAACACAACAAAACTGAAGTAATGTCAAATAACTGTCCTAATATGATAAAATATATCACAGTTTATAAAGTTAACAACAGCTGAAAGAAAGTCATGTCAAATCATAAAAATATGTACCACCAGACACAAGTTTACGATATTCAATTATCTTGCAAGACAGATCACAAAAGAAAGTTGGCAAGAAGTGCCAGTGTTTTTGACCTTCATGAGGTCACATTTTGATGGAAGTACTATCACAGTATCAATTTGCCGAACAACAATTAGTATTTTGACAGTATCTCAATTCAAATCTAACATTAAACTGCTGTGGGGCAATCAATAATGAGCACTTTCCAAACCGCAGACGCCAGGTGAAATTATAACCATGATACTTTCACTGATGTACAAAAACTACTCCACTGACTGATGGAGGAGCCTCAAACTTTCTTCGAGAAACAAATAAACATGAAATTCGGTGGTCACTTGGAAGAAAGTTGAACAAGCTAAAGTTTCGATCACATGAACAACAAATCCAGTTGAAGTCAATTCTACTTGACCTAAAAATTCCAACCGGGACAACAACGCACAAACTATATGTGGCTACGACGAACCGACTGAATAAGTGTTAGACGAATAAAATGGATGCTTGCTAAATGAGAAATAACTTAGCAAGGAGAACCGTAGATATATATGATTCAAAGACGAAAACAATACTACCTTTCCCAATGTCCATCAGTATGAATGATACTGCCGATTTCAGAAAACTTAATACATAAATGATAGTTTGTGATATATGTACTAGTGTTTGAGTTTTGTCAATGATATTCATATTTGCTAGAAGATGAACAGTCTACATGGAGGCTCTTTCGAACACTGCACTTCAGATCTGAGTATCATCTCGCAAGAGTCAGTAAACTAAGGTTAGTAATCTGCTTATTTTATCCAACTAACCAGTATTCTAAAAAAAAATGGAAAAAAACGGACGCACGTTTAATCACTACAAATAACAATTATCTGCAATTAAATGATTGTGATACAGGAAATCATTACCAAAATTAGTAAATAAAATATAAGCAAAGATTAAAACCTACATATGCTTAGCATGGTTCTTCAAATGACCAAGATCAGTCATTTCCCTCAATGACTGAACTTTACACTTTACTAATTCGGTTGGACATAGAGTTAAGCTTGACCAGAACGCAGCTAAACTACCTGAAAAGGCATGTTGTAGCACTGATAGGTGCTCAGCGTCTACACTGCAAAGTTTCGCTACCATGTACTCAGAAGGAGGGAGTGCACAAAACAAAACTGAATTCTCAGCAACATTTGCAAATAGTGACGGCACAGTCCCTGCGTAAATCCCACGAGTGATGCCGTCTCTTGTAAGTGTAACCTTAAAGCATTTCCATGCCGATGGGTAAACTTCTGGGAATGTTTGCATCTTCACCTTGATTGTATCCAACGGCTGTCCAACATATACAGTAGCGAATCCGCCTGTACTAAAGAATCAATTAAGTAGAACAGAGTACCATTAATTCCAGCAACTAATCCAATAAGACTGTTTTTAACGTGATCCATGCTTTTTTAGTGACAACTATGAAAACCAAGGCAGTATTCACGCCAAACTCAATTTCAGAACGTAACGCAAACGCTTGTATCGTTTGTCAAGGAGATTCCAATCCAATACCTAATATTGATAGTGCGAGCGTAGAAAACTGATAGTTTTTGATCTCTCGCGTCTAGTTCTTAGGGCTTGGTTCGAGTTGTTCGGTTCACTCCTGCAGTGGACGAGGAAATCCCCTCTGCCTTTTTGCTTTTAGCTTCGGTGGGGTGGATGTTTTATGGGTTATTAAGTTGTAATTTGTAGAGTGATTGGGGAGCTACGGCTTGCTGGGAAGTTTAGGGAACTGCCGTGACTCCTATCTGTGTATGTATCTGGGAGAGAATAGGGTAGTGATAAAAGAGTGAAGAGAGAATAAAAAAGAGTAGAAAGAAGAGAAATAACAAGGGAAGAGAAAAGGGGAGGGGAGGAAAAGGAGGGGTGAAAAGAGGAATGAAAACGAAAGGAAAGCATTTGGGAATTGCGCGAATGGTCGCGCGGGTTTGGTTCGTACAGAAGAATTAGTGGGTAATATGGATGTATTAAGGAGGGAGGTAATGAGTGGTAGTTAGGAGGGAGTTTGGGGCTAGTGAGGTTGGTGACTACCTGAGTATGTCCATGGTAGTTCATGCGAGGTGACATAACTGTCTAATCGTCTCTTGAATGAGTCGACTGAGGGAGCTATAACGATATGTCGCGGTAATGCATTCCATAAAGCACATACACTTAGGGAGAAAAATTTGGAGCTGAGTATGGTGTTGGCTCTCTGGTGTGCTGTCTTGATGGGGTTTCCTCGTGAGGATCTTTGAGTTGCAGGCAAAACTGATTTGTTTGCATGGTCTGCCTGATGGGCGATCTTGTATGCCATTGTAGCGTCATACACTTCCCCAAAATCAATAGCCTAGGGTTTGACGACTTCGACATTGATGCTGACCTTGATAGTTTAACTGGACTCGCTAAGCTGAAGGCATCCGGTCAAGCATCCTCGCCATTTGGCACGCTGTCGTGTTACGTTGCATTGCTCGTATTCGACTCTCTAGCCAGTTAGTTGGAACGCATCGGTATTTTGGCATAACCATCCAAATATACTATTCCATCCGACTACGCTATCGTGTTCTTCCTTGGTCTCGTATTCGTGGGTATATAACAAGTTCGAATAATTAGTGATTGGTCTTTGCGTCTGTCAAGTTCGCACCAGGACAAATCCTAAATTGGTGAGCCCGACGTGATCAAATATCCCGACGTGATCACATATCCCGAACAATAGCAAGTATTGAATTGGTGAGCCTGTTCCATTTTATATTTGTTTATTGTTTTCATTTCGATAACATTTATATATCCATTTACTACACTTTCTCATGTCCGACCACACTCCCAAGCTTATTCGTATTAAGCCGACCTCGAACACGATCCAACTCGTGCCATATTGGCCAGACAATGCAGAAACATGGTTTCTGTATGCCGAGGCCGATTTTCGAGAACAGGGTGTCTCAGATCCTCATCTCGATTTCTTGCTGTCATACGTTCACTACCGCGAGAATTAAACAGGTTGTTACAGCAAACATGTTTAATCCTGAAGTAAGTGACCCTTATGCACTTCTAAAGGCTGCACTCTTGAAGAAAAGCGATCTCACAGATCGCCAACGTCTAGACGAATTGCTTCGTAACATCGAGCTAGGCAGCCACTCAGCTACTGAAGTCCTCGCACGCATGCGAGAAGTAATCGGTGCACGAACATTTGACGATGGTTTCTTCCGAGAACTATTTCTCTCGAAACTACCACAACCGGTGCAAACCGTGTTGGTGACACTCCAGTCAGTCCCACTCGACGACCTGGCAGCTTCAGCAGATAAAATACTGGAGATATCCAGCAGACCCGTCTCCAACGTATATTCTATCTGTGACAAAACAGAGCGCCAGGATTCGGAGGTGACCAAGTTGTGCAACTCTGTGAAACGGTTGCTACGATCTCGAAGTCCTAGATCACGTAGCACTTCACAGAAACGCACCTTGGCGCATCGCAGCAAGTCGCGTGGTAGCCCTAAAACGAAACCCAACAGGGTGGAAAACCCTGAATGGTGCTGGTTTCATAACACTTACGGGGATGAAGCCAGAAAATGTCGTAAACCATGCCGTTTTAAGAAGGACCGAACTCGGGAAACGGTCACGCCGGCACGTGCTCACGGCAACCGTAGCCGGCGGAAAAAGCCGTTTGCTCTACGTCACCGACATTAAAACGAAAGTCCGCTACCTCGTCGACACCGGCGCAGAAGTTAGCGTTCTTCCAGCAACGACAAAGGAGCGTCATCTCGACCCATCCTTCAATCTTCAAGCAGCCAACGGCAAGGCAATCGCGACATTCGGGAGACGGTATGCCTACCTCAACTTAGGTTTACGCAAACCTATTCACTGGATTTTCCTCCTGGCAGACGTCTCTATGCCTATCATTGGCATAGATTTGCTGAACCATTACGATCTACTCGTAGATGCTCGCCGTCGACGACTGATAGATAACAACACAAAGTTATCTATTGGCGGCACCACCTATGTAGGTCCGAGTTTAGCCATCGTTAGGACTAAACAATCAGGCGACGCGTCCTACCAGGCAGTTCTGGAGAAATATCCAGAGTTACAACAACCGAAACACACTCTTCCGTGCATAACCAGCAATGTTATGCATCACGTCACAACCACAGGTCCACCTGTGGCATCCAAAGCTCGCCGTTTAGCCCCCGATAAGCTGCAAACGGCGAAAAATGAATTCGACCATATGCTGGAACTGGGCATTATCAGACCGTCAAACAGTCCTTGGGCATCGCCATTGCACATGGTGCCCAAAAAGGATAGCAACGACTGGCGTCCGACCGGTGATTACCGAAGGCTTAACGCCAAAACAACTCCGGACTGCTACCCTATACCCCACGTTTACGACTTGACCGCAACCTTATGCGGCATGAACATTTTCTCGAAAATCGACTTAGTCAAAGCGTACAACCAGATACCTATGGCAGCAGAAGATATCGCGAAAACAGCCATTATTACTCCTTTTGGCCTGTTTGAATTCCTGCGCATGCCTTTTGGTCTTCGGAATGCAGCACAAACATTCCAACGCTTTATGGACGACGTCTTCCGTGGTCTGAATTTTGTTCATGTCTACATAGATGACTGTCTAATTGCGAGTCCAGATAAGGAAACACACCTTAAACATTTGGACCTCGCATTCGAAAGACTCAAAAAACATGGCATCACAGTTAACTTACAGAAGTGTGAAATAGGAGTTGAATCACTCAGCTTCCTTGGGCATACCATTGACAACAAAGGTATACGCCCATTGAGAGATAAAGTGGCGGCTATCACAAACTATCCAGAGCCGACCACTGTGAAACATCTCCGCACTTTCAATGGCCTGGTAAGTTATTACCGAAGGTTTATCCCTAACTGTGCCTCTGTCATGAGACCACTCACAGATCTACTTCGAGGAACTGCGAAGTTCGTGTCTCTGGACAACGCGGCTAGACTTGCTTTCTCCAAAGTCAAGGAAGCCATTTCGAACGCAACCATGCTTATGCATCATGACCCCAATGCTCCTCTGAGTATTGCTGTTGATGCATCTGATTCAGCAATTGGAGCAGTTTTGCAACAGTTGACTGACAACCAGTGGCAACCGTTAGCCTTTTTCTCGAGGCGGCTGCAAGACGCGGAAACAAGATACAGTACATTTGGTAGGGAACTCCTAGCCATGTACTGTTCTGTACGCCATTTTCGACATTCTGTGGAAGGTCGTGATTTCATTATTTTCACAGACCACAAACCGTTAACGTTTTCCCTCAGCTCGGCGTCTGACAAATACTCCCCTCGTGAGTCGCGACAGCTGGATTACATTTCCCAGTTCACGTCAGACATCCGCCACATTTCTGGAGCAAACAACTCCGCAGCCGACGCACTATCTCGAATAGCTTCGATAAACTATATCGAGGGTATTGATCTCGTTGAACTAGCTCGGCGTCAAAAGGAAGACCTTGAGCTGCATCATGAGTTGTCGTCCACAACTCTCAAACTGCGACTTTGTCCTGTTGGATCAGACAAGGATGCAATTTTGTGCGATGTCTCTGCTAGTCAACCACGCCCAATAGTTCCGAAGAGTTGTCGACGCAACGTCTTCAATACGTTGCACAAACTCTCTCATCCAGGTGTACGAGCCACCATTAGGCTTATCGCACAACGTTTCTGCTGGCCTGGGATGAACAAAGACGTTAAGGAGTGGGCCCAGTCGTGCTTAGCTTGTCAAAAGTGTAAAGTCACGCGACACACGAAAAGCCCTTTAGGCTCATTTCTAGCCCCAGACATGCGTTTCGACCACGTCCATATAGATATTGTAGGACCCCTACCAGAATCTAATGGATGTACCTACCTTTTCACCTGTGTTGATCGTTTCACACGATGGCCGGAAGCAGTACCCATTAAAGATATTACTGCCGAAACAGTTGCTCGTGTTTTCGTCGAAAGATGGATCGCGAACTTCGGATGTCCATCCTACGTCACAACCGACCGTGGGCGCCAATTTGAGTGCGGACTATTTCACGCTCTAACGGCACTTTTAGGTTGCACTCGGTTCCGAACGACAGCCTACCATCCACAAGCAAATGGCATGGTAGAGCGTTTCCATCGACAGCTGAAAGCTTCCCTTTCAGCTACAAACATACCTCAGTGGACCGAGGCTCTGCCTCTAGTCCTACTAGGTATTCGTAACGCGTTGAAAGTTGATGCTGGATGCACTCCTGCAGAACTCGTCTATGGGACCACTCTTCGCCTACCAGGTGAGTTTGTTTCCCCTTCAACTTTCAAACATGTTTCCGATAGGGCATCTTATGTGACTAGGCTTACAAACGCAATGCGTTCAGTTAGGCCTTCTCCGATTAGACCGCAAACGACTGATGTTTTCGTCCACCCCAGTTTACAGAAGACATCACACGTGTTT